CTTTGCCTTTTTTGTCTCTTTTGCACTTACATAAATAAATATTTGTCTATCACTATCTCTTTCTCTTTCAAGGGTGTTTTAATACTAAAGTAATAAATAAAATAATACTAAAGCATTATTATATAAATATAAATTTTCACCAGGCATGGTGTTGCACATACATAATTCTAGCTATTTGGGAGGCTGAGGCAGGAGGATCATTTGAATTCAGGAGTTCAAGGCTGCAATGAGCTATAATTGTACAACTGCACTGAAACCTGAGTGGCAGAGCAAGATCCTGCCTGTCTCCAAAGTGAATAAATAAATAAATAAAATCATCTTTACTATTTATGAGCTTATATTTTTGCTTTTCAATGAATATCTATGTTAGTAAATTGAGCTTAAAGATTTGAATGTTATTAAACTATAACGATCTATTTATATGTATAATTTATTGTATGACTTCAGAATCTTAGAACCCAATACTACTCCAGCTAATATAAGATATATTTCTGATAAGATAACATTTCCAATATAAACTTGAGATATTTTATTTACTCGTACCTTTAAGATTATATATAACTTGTAGCAACACATACAATATTTAAATATTCAAAGAGATAGTTTAGCTTCAGCTAGACTCGTGTGCTAATTGTGAAAGATTAGTTCAAAGTTATATCTATGTTTAATAACAAGTTGGAAATAAGCAGTATAATATAAAACCACAGACCTTGAGGTTTAGAAAATTATATATGTTGTAAAAATAATGCACAGGATATATTCAGTCTAGAGAATATTTAAGATTTCAACTATTCATTTGAACATTTAAAAAAATGTTTGTCTTCTGGGTTTATTTGAAACACTTAGCTGCCTCATGACTATAAGTAAAGTGGTACATATATTTTGGTTGTCTAATCAGGAAAACCTGAGTTTATTAAAAATCTTGATTCTTTAACATTTAATGGTATGAAAATTTCTGTCACTACACATTATTTTACTGCTATATAGTCTTCGCACTTTACTTATCACAAATATGTGCAGATGATATTCAAACTTACTGCCTTAACCCAGGTATGAATTATTAAGATAACACTTAAGTCTTCTCTGACATTTTAAACTGAGGTGATCAAGACCCAATATAAATTATCCGTCTTCAAACTTTTTTTCTGCATTTTTTTCCTTTCTCTAACTAATGGTGCTATTATACTTCTAGCCATTTCTGCACCTAAAAACTTCCTTTGGGCCTGATGCTGTGGCTAACTGATAGCATCAGCTACTCAGGAGGCTGAGATGGATCGCTTGAGCCCAGAGGTTACAGTGTGTTGTGATTGTGCCACTACACTCTAGCCTGGGCGGCAGAGTGACATCCCATCTCTATAAATAAATAAATAAATAAATAAATAAATAAATAAATAAATAAACTTCTTTGTTTCTACCTTTCCCAATTATACTATATACTTCCTACTAGAGCACGCTGAAACTATCTGTTTCTCTCTCATACCCTACCGCATGCATAAACACACTATTCTTTTCATTGTTGTCACAATTTCTCGGTGCCAAATTGTTCTAATCTCTATCCCCAAATAAGGTTTGTGTTTCCCCATCTCTATCAGTGGTCTATATTTTCTTATTAAGTGAAGTGTTGAAAAAAACTTGGGCAACATACAATTTAATTTCTAAAAATATTGATTACTACCCTTTTCTGGTAATCTGATGTTTAACCTATCTAAAAGTGTGGCAAGTAGTCCAATTTAATCATACATAGTATAAGGTATGTTGAACAAAATAGGCTCAACCAGCATAAACGTAAATGGATTTACGAAAGCTCTCAGTTTTGTGATCTTAGGGCTTGATTTTGTCAGCACTCAGTATGTTAGCTTGGGCTCTCCAATAAGCTGATACCAAAACGTGACTAAACATGTCAGAATTATTAGGGAAATGCTCTTGTGACAAAAAAATAAAGAGAGAGCCAAGGAAGGCTGGAGAGCCTTCACACTGCAATATCTCACCCAAAGGTGAGAAGAGGTGGAAGCCTTCTAGATTGCCCTGGTACAATGAGATTATAAGAGAAGTTGAACAACACCGTTAAGAAATCCTTGAGCATAGAGGAGTCCTGTGTCTCAAAGAATGGATCTATTTGAGCATGTATTTAGTCACAAGCTGGGAGAAGCTGTTGGGTAGCATGGCCTTTGGCGGAATAGGATTTCAGAGCATAGCAACTGTGGTTCTTGATCAGTTATATCTATAGTTACTGGTCTGTATTCTCTTGGCCATCACAACTCTGGAAGGTGATTTATTTCTTAAATCATGGTTCTATAGCTACGCTAATAAGAAACTTGGTTTTATACCAACAGAAGTTGTTTTGCTTACACTAAGAATTAACTTAATCTGCAGAGTCAAATATTCATATTAACAAGATTATCACATTTTCTCCATATTAGCAGATTTCTGTCTCAGAGATGAATTCAAATGCATTTGAATTGGTGAGCATGGACTCTGAACAAAGAAATTTAAATGGATAATTCAAACTGCAATGACACAAGACTGTGACATTCAGATATATATACACCTCCATCTAAGTCTATAGCTGTCCCAAGAAACAAACAGAGGGCTGGGGAGAGGCTGCTGAAGATGCCTCTCCTGTTCCATGCTAACTATCGCTTCTCTTAGCTTTGGCACAAACCACCACAATACTTAGTGGTGTAAAGCACCTTTGGATTATCTATTTCTCCTGGTTCTGGGGTTGGCCAGGTGATTTTTCTGGTCTCCACCAGCTTGACTGGAACTGGACGGCCTAGGATGGCCTCACTCACATGTCAGGAGATGCGGATGGGATAGCAGGGAGGGCAGGGACAACTGGAGCCTCTGCCCACATAATGTCTCATCCTCCAGAAAGCTACCCTAGTGGCATAAGGGTTTCTGTTGATATAAGGGTTTCCTGTGACTGGAAAGGGCAAACCCCAATATGCAAGCACTTTTCAAGTCTCTGCTTTTGTTACCTTTTTTATTGTTGTTTTAGCTAAGACAAATCCCAGAGTCAGTGTGCTAGAAACTCTCTGCAAGTATATGGATGTGGGGAGCCCTGAACAAATTGGATTAGTCTAGCACACTATCTAATTAGTATGTTGCCCCTCTTCCTCTTTTTTCCTGTTTCTCTTCCTCCTCCTCCTGCTTCATTTCCTCCTCCTCCTTTTTCATCTTATGATTATACAATGAATGAGACTACATCTACTTTCTAACACTTTCTGATTCTAGAATAAAAAAGATTTATGCTCTAAGGTACATTTTTGCATATGTTGAATTCATCTGCAATTTGTTAATTTTTATCTCAACCCTCAGTATTGCCAATGATGAGAATCTATCTCTTTCTATAATTCATAAGGATCCTGAATGTCCATGGGTTTTCCTCAGACAGTAAGCTACACGGATATCCTCTAAAATTGGTGATTTTTAATGACCCACTTTGTTGGCACCTAGTCAGATTACTCAGTCGTGACAATTCATTACATTCCCTGATTCTAATGAAATAATAGACATGTTTTTTCTTAAACTTAGTTGTTGTTTGAATGTGAAAATTAGGAGGTAGAAATTGAATAATATATGACTTGTTGGAAACTATAATTTTCTAGTCTATGGCTTTTCTGTCAGCTAACTGTGTTGAGCCTATTATCACTATAATCAGGTGCTGAAAAGGGTAAACATGAAAGCAACATGCTAAAAAAAAAAATGCTTTGGAGTGAATAGCACTTTTGCTTGTAATCTAGGCAGTTTCTGAAGCATGAGGTAAGGCTGCGCATTAGAAATCCTTGTAGGCTGGATGCATCACTGCTGTTTTCTAGGCCGAGATGTGTGGGTGACTGTGCGTAGTCTTACAGTCTTCATTTTATATTTCTACACCACATCTGTGCAAAGCTACATTGGCATCATTTGGTGCAAATGATAATGACACACTTGATTGTTAGTCCCACAGCTAAGCCTCAAACATCACTTCTGGTGGCCTCCCCTCTACCAATATTTCTAGTCTCAATTCCTAGACCCCTCTCCACCACTGGAAAATCTGCTAGATGGATTTCACTTAGACATACATTTAGAGAAAATAACTACTCAGATTAGCCATTTGACACAAAAAACCAATGATTCAGTTTTGTACTGTTCAACCGTGTGTTTGTATGTGTGTGTGTGTGTGTGTGTGTGTGTGTGTGAGAGAGAGAGAGAGAGAGAGAGAGAGAGAGAATAGATAAAAGGAGAAACAGGGAAGACTAGCACTTGTTTTCAGAAGGTAGTATTCATCTTTAATGATTCAGATCTGCTTTTTGGTCCTATTGAAACGATGCATTTCCACATTGATGAAGATAAAGATAGCCCCTCTGACTTTGACCGAGTCTCTGGTTGTTATGAAATTTGCCTTCTGCCTTGGCTCTCCCTTTCCATTAGCCCACTGCTAGAACACATAGAAAATCCCTTGGTTTGAATGTTACACATCAACTTGTTTGGCTGGATTCCACAACTTCTCAGTTGTCTGGAGCTGGGCCATATTATCGTAGTTCTTAATGGTTTTAATACATGCTCAGTGTCTACTCTGGGCCTTGGGGTTGCCCCTTTTTGGCTCATGCATCAGGAGCCATTTGAATATCATGTAGTCATTCAGAACCTACACACATGCATCCAAGTGATGTTGTTTTTTAGTAAATCTCATGTTAACAATACATGACCCTGGTACATTCCATAAGTTCTTGTTCCATGCTGCTATCTTCTGTTTTCTAGCTAACACATCAAGTAATATTTTAGCAAATATAGTCTGATGTCTTGCTGAGTACTTCCTTGATAAAAGATGCAACTTCGATTTCTCTCTATAATGATAGAAATTTAAAGTATATATACTTTTTTATATCATTTTAGATTTTTATAGACAAGTCTCCAGAAAACAAATGAAAAGATTCCTTTTTTATCATCTTTTTTTTTTAGTTCTAAGAACTCCGTGTCTCATTTTTAACTCATCACATCATTTTTTTTTCTCCTAGGACTACAATGATGAAATTCGTCAGGAACAACTACGTGAATTATCTTACTTAAATGGCTCAGAGGACTCTGGTCGTGGCAGAGGTATTAGAGGCAGAGGGATCAGAATAGCTCCCACAGCTCCTTCAAGGTACATCAGTTCTTACTTTAAATAAATTAATGGCATAGGAAGCTGGCAGGCTTTTGTTGTCTTGATCACAGCTAGGAATAAACAACAACCTCAGCGACAGTCGCCACCTCCACAACAAAAACAATAATGACAAATGCTTATATGGCATGGAAGAGCTTTACATATGTTAGCTCATCAAGTATCCTCCATACTAAGAGATATCTACTATTTGCAGGTGAGAAGATGAGGTACAAAATGTGTATGGAATTTATGCAAGTTCACTTAGGCAATCTGATTCCAGAATTCACAGTTTATGCTTTTAACTGTGAATCTGTTAACAACTACCCTTACGAAACAAAGGTGGAGATTCTGGAAATTAAATTTAGAAAATAAGGCAGCAAACCTGAGATTTTCTACTTTCTTGTCCTTTCCCCAGGATTAGGGCATATGAATGTGATAGCCATTTGCCTCTTTGAACCCTGATAACCTTGTGTGAAGAGAAAAGTATAAAGTTTGTTTGTGACTTAAATGGTTTTTGAATTGATAGAGTTTGCCAGGTAAGGAGGGAGGGAGGGAGGGAGGGAGGGAGATAGATAGATAGATAGATAGATAGATAGATAGATAGATAGATAGCTAGCTATAGAGAGATACAGAGATAGATATAGGCAATACATATGCCATCAGCCAAGAAAGCCAGAGGTACACTTCTCGCATGGCTGATGGTAAGGATATTTAAAGTTCAGATACATTTGACTTTGCAATGCCCTTGGTGATCAGAGAAGACTTTATTTGATTTCGTTCACTTTGCAAAGAAATTGGAATCTTTCTGTATTAGAATTTGTTTTTTAGAACACTGAATTTGTTAAACTTTCAACAGAAAGCATTGGTTTGCAAGGAGGTAAAGTAAAAAATACTCATAGCCTTCACACAATGACTGTGTGATTCAATCATTCTCTTTACCTTATTATAGCTGGCCTTTAAATCTCTAAAGGACATAGATCTAGAATATTATTTCATATATCACATAGAAATTATTCCAACAGATGCTAAGATATTTTGTACATTCAATTTGTTTCTTAAATTATATCCCAAATATTTTCAGCCACCACTGTCAACATTAGCCACTGTTTCTAACATTTAAATCATAAATATCTCAAAATGTTTCACATTTGATAGGAAAAAAATGTTAAGAATGATAAATTTCTAAATAAAATATCAAGAAAATAACTTATAAGTAAAATGTGGCAGTTCTGAAAATTAGATTTAGCTAAAAGCAAAACTTCTGAATATGTTCTAGAGCTTATATTTATGTTATCTTTAAAAAATTAAACATGGAGCTCTGCAACGTTGTTCAGGATCATTTGCTTATTGCTAAGAATTAATGTGACATAAAGCAATACTGTCCTGTTTTAATAGGATCAATCTTTTGCACATTTCTAATATCATCTTGATGGGTTTTGCAGTGACATCATTGCAAGACATCTTTAATGAATTTAATCAAATGGGTTAAATCACATGTAATTGCCACTTTTGCAGTTCAAAAAATTGCCAATTTTAGCAGTTTTATATGGTTTAACCTAAGTGTAAATTTAGGATGTCTAAAGAAAGCACCAATTTTTCTATTCTATATGTCTTAAAATTGGAACCATTTAGAAAAGATAATGCATTAACCTGCTTTTGATATTATAAAATCATTATATCAATAGATTTGTTGTATTATTAGTATTCCTTAATAGGATATTGTATTTGTCATATTTGAATAGACCATATAAGAATGCTTTATTCTAAAATTTTAATCTGTTTAATAATTGAATAAAGAATAGTGCTGATTCAAAATGGTCTAGATTTTTAAATATCTTCTTAGAAGAAAAATTTGATTGAAAGGTTTTGCTATTTCATAGTCCATATATCATATAAATCTGATAATACATACATAAAAAGAAAAAATTAACACCTATAATTAAATTTTACTTCTAATGCTACTGATATAATTAATGTTACAAACATTAGTGAAAGTAAATAGAGCAGAACTTTGTTGTCTTCTTTTTCAAACAACATGATGAAATATATCTACAATTAAAAATGAAAAAGGAAATAGCTTCACAAAACAGAAAATCATATTGATAGGAAAACTTCGGATAGTAGGAGTTTATGGATGCCAATTTGTATATATTAATGAAATTATTAGTTTATTAAGTTATTCAATTATACTAATGTTCAAAAAGATGGTGTCTAGAATATTTTAAAACTCTATAATTTGTTGGAAAGTATTTAATTAACAAATTTACATTTCAATAAACATATCTATAACTAATCTTCCAATAATAATGCATACCAGAGAACAAAGCATTACATCTATTATACTAATAATGTATTTTATGTAAATGAAGAATGAAACTATATGACATCTCTAACACACATCATCACTGCATGTTGCAGTGAGAGCAAGAAGTGGAAAATGAAACATTAGGGGCAGATTTTGAGGGCTTTTGTTTACTACAATGAGAACTAATAATTAGAACAAATGGAGTTTGTTAAAGAGGAGAGTAATCATATTAGTTTCTAAGAAAGACTACTTAGTCATCGCTGTGAGTGACTTAGAAGAGTTCGAGTGATAGAGAGAGAGGCAGAGACAGAGAAAGAAAGAGAGATGGAGAGACAGAGACAAAGAGAGAAACTGACTTAAGGGCAAGGGAGCCAATGAGAAGACAAGTCCATTATCCAAGACTGACAGAAATGAATAGCACTCAGAGTGTAGAAAGACAGGGCCAGACTAGAGTTTAAAGTGTATAGGAATTAATGCCAATTAGATATTGGATAAGTGTGGCCGAAGACAAAGGTAACTCTCTAGTGCCTAGCCTGGTAAGAGATTTATGATTTCATCAAACCAGATTGAGTGAAGGATCAAGTTAAATGATGAATATACTATTCCTGTAAGTAATCCTATCTCTATGGATTGCTAGTGTGACCTTGGGCAGGGGACTTGTACTCTTTGTGCCTTGTTTTCTCAACTTACAGAATAGCTTAGAACTGCCTACATGACAAGCTTGTCAAGATGCTTACATTAGGTGAGGCAGGTAAGCTGTGGTTCCTAAATTAGGCTGTACAATGGCGTCACTAGGGCTCCCTGCCTGCAGACTGTGATTTAATTGGCCTGGGGTATGAGCTGCAATTTGGAATTTTTAAAATATCCTCAAGTAACTCTAATCTGCAGGGAAGTTAGGGAACTTCAGATATAAGGAACACAAACCAGGATACGACATTATGTTAAGAAGGAAACAAATAGTCCTCATTAGAGTTAGGGACTGTGGGGTATAAACATGAGAGAAAGAAAGACGATCCAGAATAGAAATTGGGGACACCCATATTCCAAAACGAGCCCAGGAATAGAAGCCAGTGAAGGAGGCTGAGAAGTAAGAAAGAGGAAGGAGGAAAGGTGGAGAAAAGCAGGGTCATAAAAGTACAAAGAAGCATTTTCCAGATATTAATCCACAGTCTTAAATATAATAGGGAGGTGCAGTCATGGGGAGACTATAAAAGAATCTAGTGGATTTGAAAATTGGTAGGCTACTGGTGATCTCGGCCGAGACTGCTCTCAACAGAGTGATGAAAGTAAGAACTAGATTGATTACATTCAGTTCAGGAATGAGCAGGAAAAAGGTAAAGAATTAAACATGGAAAATGTTCTTTCAAGAAGTCTGAATAGTAACGAAAAGACTACTGCGGTGTGGATTTACCCAGGGGCAGTATCCTAAAATAGGTGATGTGAATCTTGAGTTGAATTGGAGGAGAGAGCAACAACGTTAATAATCCAGGGAAGGGACATTGTGTATAGGAATTAACGAGTCACTCTCAAGAGACAGGTTTGCTAGAGATGTGTCTGGTAGTCACTCAGTGAAGGAATGGAATAAGAAATTAGATTTGATGCAAGCATCATATAATTTTAGAACAGGAAATAAGTGTTACAGATTCAGAAATCTGCATTTTACTCCTTAGGGGGGAAAAAATCCACCTCAGGCCTAGGTAGTTATAGTACTTATCCAGGATTATTTAAGGTATAGCCAAGACTTGTGAATATAGTTTAGCATAGGGTGGCCATATAATTTATTACCCACACTTGGATGCTTTTGAGAGCGTTAGAATGCTAACTAGAGCAGGAAGCTAGGACAACAGTTGTGAAACCTGGATGTGTGCTCATCTTGCTTATGAGGAAACAGACAGGTGCTTGGAGGCCCAGTGAAGGTAAATTGGTCTTTACATCCTTTTTTACAGATACATTTTTATATTATCATGATAATAGAGAATATTGTATTCTCAGCTGTGTTGTATTTGAAGCAGCCCTGGGTCTCTGGGTCTTTTGTATTTCACCTCCTCCCAATCTAGGAGAGTGTTCTTATATACATTAGACTCACAATAATTTCTATGATAGTTTCTCTATTCATCAGCTTTATAATCTATTTAAATATTTTAAAAGCTCTACCACCATTCTTACTCTTGACTCCTAAAAGCTCATTTTTTGCAAGCAAGAAAGAGCCAGCCGACTGCTATTCATAGCAAAAAGCATAACCTACATCCATGTATGTGGCTACAGCCAAACAGTGTGATTGTTGACAATGATCATCATTTTTTCCAAAGCTTTAGTGTTCCTGCTGAAAGCAGTGCTTTCTGGAGGCCAACCTTTCAGACATAATAAAAAGTGAAATATCCATGCTTGTGCCCAAAGATTTCAGACAAACATTCAACCTTTCTAAAGGCCTCAAAATACCATAAAAGTTGGCTGCAACCATTTGATCTTACGCTTTTAATGCAAGTTACTTTTGTGTCAAGAACTGCAGTACAGAGTATTTCATCTATTCTTTTTATTGCGGAGAACTAATGTATCCCACTAGCATCATAGTTACCATAATAAATATATTATGTCAGGGACTGCACCCGCTCAGGGGGTTACATGCATGATAGTAAATCAGTGACAATGAGTTGGGATTTCAAGCGACCTCAAACAAGCTGCTGTAATAAACAGAATGATATCACCATGGTTAGAGTTCCACATTTTATTAATGTGCAGGCAGATATTTTTTTTTTCTTGTAAATGATAATATTGCATATCTCTTGCAATAACCCCCAGGATGGAGGAGATATAGACAGAAGTTTCATAGATGGTCCAGTGAGTCATATATCAGAAGGAACTCTGATTTGCATCTTCTTGGCAAATTTTGAATATAATTAGAGTGCATTTTTTGTTTGTTTTTTTTAGTTATATGAAAGATAATATCCAAGTGTTTTATGTGATTTTCATGAGAACTAAGTCATAGTACTTGCAAATGTATTTTGCTGTAGAGGTCAAAACAGTTTACATATTAATAATCTCTATGGGTGGGGAGAGAGAGAGAGAGAAATTTATATTTCTTCCATTGTATGGAGGCTATGAAATGTGATCTTTTTTTGTGTTATAGTCCCTTTTCTCCTGTCCCTTGTGTCTCATCTATGCATGACCTATTTTTCCTAGGGGCCGTGGGGGTGCCATTCCTCCTCCCCCACCACCTGGACGGGGTGTTCTCACCCCTCGAGGAACCACTGTGACCCGCGGAGCTCTTCCAGTGCCCCCTGTAGCAAGAGGTGTCCCTACCCCTCGAGCCCGGGGGGCACCCACAGTGCCAGGATATAGGCCACCCCCTCCTCCAGCCCACGAGGCTTATGAAGAATATGTAAGTACTCTCAAGAAATAGTTGTGAGGAAGAGTTAACTTGATTGGTGAACAATCTAGGCCTCAAAAAAAAAATGCATATTCCATGACTATAGCAGATAATGTTTGGTGCAGAAAACAAATGTCATCTGCAGTGGAATTTTAAGCAGTGCACTCGAACAAGAGCATTTTGAGAAAAGCTTTCGTTTTACAGGTGTCATCACTGTTGTTAGTGTCAGTTCAACAGCTTGGATACTAAGAATCAAACTATCTTGAGGATTTCTTATCTTTAGAAGGCTTGACCAGATTTCAAATGAGAAATAATTATAAACATAATGCAAATCTCCATAAATTGAGAGAATTCTTCAGAGACATAGAACAGAAATATTTGAGAAATATAATATGATTCTATTATAAACTTTGGTGATAATGTAAGACCATGTGGCTATTCTTTGATTTGCATACCCTGACTCTTTCACTATATTAATGATATGGATTGACATAAAGAACTCAAGAAAATGTAGAATGAGCAGCAGAAATGCAATGTCTCTAAGCATCGCCTCTTTTCCCATCCACTCTATCTCTTGGTCATCTTATGTATCCCAATACCTTTTCACCTTTAGTTCAGGTTTTCAGTATTCTACTGGTTACATCGTGGTCCTGGCATTCATTTCTCCTACTAGATTGTGAACTTGTAAAAAGGGAGTTTCCTGTTCACCTGTGTAACCATCGGCAATCCGCTGTAAATATTAAATTGAGCAAGCCAGAGCATCGTCCTATGAAACAGATCCATTTTCCCTTTAACCTCTCCAGCACACTCACCCCTGATCTAGGTGTTTGTTTCATTCAACAACCCACAGACATGCTGTCCTCTTTAATATCTGTTGTGAATTTATATTATTAAATATAAACTCTTTCTTCAAGTACAGTTTCCATCACATGCTGGATACTCAAAACATATGAATATTTTATGGAGTAGCTAATAACTAATCAAAATTTACTCCTAAAACAAAGTGAAAATAATTTATAGGTATCACTAAAACATATATTAATGCTTACTGTATGTTTGTTTTTAGGAATAATATTACTGCTTAAATATGTAATGTTGATTAATACCTGCGAGAGTGAAAAAAATTAAATGCAGACATCCACTTCTACTGGATGAACAGATGAAATGTGTTCATTTAAAGTATCTTTAATACATCAGGTATCAATATTTCAAAACTTAAACAATCTTAAAATTGCAAAACCAGAAGTGGAAAACATATTCTACCCTGTAAACAAGCCCACAATTCAAACAACACAGGGGCACGCCCATTCTGCCATCTCTTGCCTGAGACATTATATCTGCAAAATAAGTAGTTGTTAAATGAATGAGTTCAAAATCCATGGTAGGGATGATGGAATCATTTTTTTTTTTTAAATCTCTGAGGAACTTTTTAGCTCCACAATCTTTATGTACATTGTCACTGTGGTGTTTCTTCCCTCTAAATAGAGGCTTAAATAGATGATTTTTTCAAAAATTAAAAAACAGAGACAAACTTTTCAGGTAATAGTGGTCAACATTTGCTATTAATCAAAGAATTTACATGACACACATGGGACTATGAAAGGGAACAGGATTGGCAAAACAGAATTGTGGTGTTTCATGTGCATTCCAATTTATAGTGAATAAATCACTAGAATACGAGGCAATAAAAGTAAGCGGTAAAAGCATAAAGCATTTATGGACACATGAGTAAAAAGGCTTATATTCTGAATAGGGAAATATAAGAGGGGGAATTTCTTAGAAAAGATAAAAATAACATATTAAAGCCATGTAATGTGAAATTTTTAGTTAGATTTTAAAGTATATGGTCCCTTTTTATTCATCTACTCAGTCATTCACTGAGCCTCTGTCTTATTGCAGTTGTGTTTTGAAGGTTCTGGACGTGTATCTGCAAATAAATCAGACCAACTGTCTGCTTTCACGAAGCTTAGAATTTAGTGGGAGGAGAGAGAAAACAAACATATTATATATAAATAAATGAATAAATAAATTCAGTAAAGTTGAAAAAGATGGTATGAGGGTGGTGTTCTGTGAATATGGATTCATCAGATCCAGTAATAGGAATGCTGTTAGGCCTTAAGAAAGGTCTGGACCAAGAAAGAAAACTATTAGAAATCTCTCCCCCATCTCATCTTTGTTTTCTCTGCATGTGTTTCTGTTCCATTTTTATCTATGGGCTGGATTTTTTGGCTTCTCTGATCAATGTGACTTACATAAGCATGTCCGGCTCTAGTTACCAAACAGATACTGGTTGGCCGTCTGTCTGTCAGTCTTGATCCAGACCCTCAGGTGGGAGAATCATAGTCAGTCAGGCTTATCAGGTGCCTTGCAGTAGTAGTTACCTATGCATTTAGGGAGGAGGTCATTTGAAATTAGATGTGGGATCTACCATTCATCAGTCTCCAATGTCAGGGATAGGGTAGGGGAGAAGTTTATACAATAGAAACATAGTTATTGGGGACCCAGCCCCAAGGACAATATGGGGAGACACTAGTTTCCAGAGTGGGAAAAGTCTATAAGCTTGACAGATGTCAATCGATGAGAACATACCATTGATAATAGTTAAAAGTATATGGATACTGTTTTTGAAAACCTATTTCCTATCATAGTTTATTTAAACCTATCTTGTATCAAATTTTAATGATTTTTTTTTTCCTAAAACCAATTCAGTGAGCATATACACAGTCTGATACATGGCTGACAGGCTGCTGGCTGCAGTCTTTGAAGTCCTCAGTACCAAACCCAGAATAACACCCAAGAGCTGCTACTCTCTGCTCTAATTTTAGACTATTGATTCTTCTATATGGGGTAAGAGAAACAAAAGTTTAAGTGTTTCAATAACAAAATAATAGCACCATGCTGAGTTGATGGTGAAAATCTCAAAGGAGTTCTTAACTTTTGGATAAAATTTCTTAGAAAAGCTTCGCTTTATTATAAATCACACTATGAGTCAATTCACTCTTCAGATTTGTTTCTCCCCTGCTGAGCCTCTGCATTAAGTTTCTGACCACATGGAATGTATTTAGGTAATCAAATCCACTCCTTGCAGCTGGCCTGACAAGAAACGGCTTACTGTAATTGAGATTGCTGTTTAAAACCATCATTAGTGTTAGCTGTGTCTAAAAAAAATGTGAATTTTAGTTTAATTGTTACACATCCTAAGCAAGACTTTAAATATTTTAAAGCTTCTTTTCATTGACCTTCTGCTAAGAAGAGCACATTTACATTTTACAGATCCATCATCATGATTGAAGTAGATTTGGAGAATGGAAAAGCAGATTTCAACAAAAACTCCTATACCACAAAATATTAAGCATATCAGCTCTGCCCAGTGAATGTTAGAATAAACTAAAACTGTTGAATACCTATTAGGTTCTAGTCACTGTATGTTAATCACTTAATCTCATGATAATACTATCAAGTAGTTATTAATTTTACTATTTTACTAGGTGAAGAAACTGAAGCGTGGAATTAGGAATTGCAACCAGTTTTCTGTCTCCTAGGCCTCTCTGTTAGATTGTGTTTCTTCTCCATAAAGAACCATAAAATACCCTGCATAGTATTTGTCTCGCAGAGAACTCACTGGTTTATACAGATCATTTGTACTTCATACTCCCATCCACACCACTAGTCAGTTTTTGAATCCTCTCTGCATTATTTAGACAGGGGTCCTCATACTTTTTAAACAGGGGGCCAGTTTACTGTCCCTCAGACCGTTGGAGGGCCAGACTATAGTTTAAAAAAAAAACTATGAACAAATTCCTATGCACACTGCACATATCTTATTTTTAAGTAAAAAATCAAATGGGCAAAAACACTGGCATGGGGCCCCCGGGCCGTAGTTTGAGGACACCTGATTTAGAACAACTCCCAGCCCCTGCATTAGCACCTCCTCCTACGGGAAACTCAATACCTCCAGGGAAACTAGGTACTAGAAATATAAAAACTGTGTTTAAAGAGACAATGCCTGTACTCTAAAAAGTATGTCATCTGAGACAGTCCAACAATTAACATATAATATGTATTTGCTATATAAGGCTCTTATCTTCATCTACTCTCTATTAGAAGTCATTTTTGCTATTATCTTCTCCCACTCGGAAGACCCCATATATCCTAAAGGCAGTCAGTATTTTTTACATTTGTTTTCTCTTTGCAAAGCACTTTCCAAGTAAAGTGCTTGATAGTAGCAATTGAATTGAATCTACTTATGATATTTTTGGAAAGACATTATACAAATACACACTAACATACAAATATGTCTTATATAAGTATTAAATGAATGACAGTAGAACATAGTATTTATTAAGTGCCAAACAGAGACTATACGTGCTCCAGTAATGGGAATTATCACTGATGGCTATGAGTGTTTTAGAAAACCTCTAAGAGGATAGGGAAAACAACCACAGTAGACCAGGATAATAGGTATAACTTTGAGAATTAGAGAGAAGAGTGAGAATGTTCCATGCAAAAGGAGTGGTAAGAACAAAAGACAAGAAAAGGGACCTCTCAAAGCAAATCTAAATAATCTGAGAGAACAATTTGGTGAAACAGAATTTATTTAAGATAGCAGTGGGAACAATACAGGACAGGAAAATAGAGTGGGGTTAAAAATGACCTCAAAAATCGAGGTTGTAACTTCGCTTACTGTAATAAAAAGCCGCCTGAAGATTTTGGAGCTGAAGATAAACTAAGGTTTTGGAAAATTTTACACTTCTCAGTTTTTCAGGGTGAATTGAAGAAGTTTGTAAAAAAGGGGAGAAGATTTAGGGAAATAACAACAGTGAGGCTTCCTGAGATGTGGCCTTGGCTATGAGAATAGGAATGGGAGTGCAGGTTATCCAGGCCAAAGTTAAAGCTGAATATGAAAACAATAGGGTTTGGTGACAAGTGGGTGTGGGAGGAGTAAGAAAAAGCAGCGAAGGCTGACTCGAAGGTATGGTTATTTTATAAGGGAAGGGGTAGTGCAAGGAGCA